GGGTTGTATTCCTGGTTTGTTACCAGGAGTCTCCCAGGGAGCCCCCCCCCCGCAGGGAGTGAAGGCCTTCCTGATTGGCACCTGGAGGGCGCGTCATGTAAACACACCTGCTTCACCTTTCCTTCTGCTGCTCCTGCGTTCAGAGCAGAATGATGTCACAGCTCCACCTGCGTTACACGAGTTCTCTCAGGAAGATGCGACGAATGAAAAGTGCAGACGTGTTCCTGTTTGACACCAGTTTCCCTCTGGGAGAACAGCTCCGCTCCATCTTCCTCTTTTCGTTCCTGGTCATTAACTCGTTCGCTCTCATGTTTTCACCTAAACGTCTAAAATATTGTCCTCTGTGTCCGATTCCATTTGTTTACCCACACAGACTGCAGCCAGCCTGATGGAGGTCACACTCAAGCTTCCATGTGCTTTGAGTCGGCTGCACGTTTTGTTTATGTTGTTTTTGTTTACATTGAGTGCAGACCCACATCATACACCTGAATGACTGGAGTAAGCTCTTTAAAACGCACCGTTTGATATAATTCAGTTGAGCGTTGTGATGGTGCTGACTTCACCGTTGATCTCATGTTTTGTTTATTTTCAGTGCTGACTTTATTCTGTTTTAGTTATTATTACAAATCGAAACGTTCAGCTCACTCTGGTGCTGAGGTCTTGAATTGTTTAATTTTGTTTACAAATAGACCACCGTGACCCAAAATGGAAGAAGAGGGTAAAAGATAATGGATGTTTACAAATAGTGCTCCCATAAACATGAAGCTATTTTTATTTATTTCAAAAACATTGTCCTCTTTAAATCCACTTCGGAAGTTTTTGTCTGTTTTAGCTACTATTTTGCTGCTTTTGTGTTATAATTAGCAGTTTTTCCACTTTTACATTATTTTTGCAAAGTTTAGCTGGTGTTTTATTATGTTTAACTAACTTTTTATTACTTTTAGCATGTATTCAACTTCAATTAGTGTTTTGCTACTTTTAGCTTTTAGCTGTCATTGTGTTACTTTTGGATTTTAACTAGCAGTTTGCCTTTTTTAGTTTCTAGTCAATAAGGTGTGTGTGTGTGGGGGGGGGGGGGGCATGTGGTGTGAAACACTAAATCTTTTCTGTGCGTTTTCTCACTATGGCAAACCCTGCCGAAAGAAAAGCAACAGCCAGAACTCACAGGTTCAGCTCCCAGCTCTTCCGTGTGCCCTTTGTTCTCGTCAGGTTAACTGATAAACTGTCCAAGTGAAAGTGTCTTGTTTGTCTCCGTGTCCCTGTGAAGGACCTGTCCAGGGTGTCCCCTGTCCCTCACTGGAGACAGACGCCAGCTCTCTACAACTTGAAAAAGAAATATGGCTCACGTTACGTGGGTAAAGGAAAAAGGATGGATAGTTTTAAGCTAATGTTTTAGCTTTTAGCTAAGCTTTTAGCCATTGTTTTGCTTCTTTTAGCTTAGCGTTGTATTACTTAGCTTATTTTAGCTTCTGGTCTTTTTGCTTTTGTTGACCTTTATTTAAGCAGACAAATCCCCAACACAGATCTCGTTTGCAAAGGAGGCCTGAAGGGAGCCTAACGTGCATGTTTTGATCTGTGGGAGGAAACCGGAGTACCCGGAGAACATCCACGCAAGCACGAGAAGAACGTGCAAACTCCACACAGAAAGACCCCAGGTCCAACCGGGGATTGAACACAGGACCCAGTGCTAACCACTGAGCCATCGTGTTGCCATAACATAGCTTTAACATGAACAACTTCTCAGCTGTCAGTCAAATCCTTCAGCGTGCAGCAATCACTCCATCTGTCTTGAGTTGCTGCATCGAGCACATTTAAATGCAAACAAACAAACAAACATCTGGATGTTGTCTTCAGCTGGTTTGACTTCCAGATGCTGAAACTTTATTTTGAGGGGTCAGTGATCTTGAAGCTGCTGGGCTTATGCAACGTGCACAGAGGGGCTGGAGTTAGACTGACATGGTGGACGCGGGTTGCTCGGTGCTGCATTTCTGCCGCTGGTTCGATTCCCTCCAAGCTGTTGTTCATGGAGTGTGAAGAAGATTCACATCTGATCAGAGCCTCGTGCTGACTGAGGTACAAGTTTGAAGAACAAGTTCAAGTTCTTTGTGTCAGATGGGGGGGGGGGGTACCTTCGCCTGTGGGTCTTTTTATCTC